TCCCCCGGGGACTCCGACCCAGAACCCTCTGGTCCTGGTTCCCCCGGGACTCCAACCCAGAACCCTCTGGTCCTGGTTCCCCCGGGACTCCGACCCAGAACCCTTTGGTCCTGGTTCCCCCGGGGACTCCAACCCAGATCCCTCTGGTCCTGGTTCCCCCGGGGACTCCGACCCAGAACCCTTTGGTCCTGGTTCCCCCGGGACTCCAACCCAGAACCCTCTGGGTCATACATGTGGAAACGGTGAGCTGCTGAACCCATGATGTTAGCGTGTTACATGTTAGCCAAAACAATGACTACTGTGTCCAAAATTAATAGACAGGTGCAAAACAAGGTTGTTTCATTTTATTTAATTTGATTTCTTTTAAACAATGTGCATTTTTTTCAAATAACAAAGTTAACAGACTTGGAAATTAGAAGACAAATGTTTTAGATAACAAGAGCAGTCTTAATAGATATCATACAGTCATATATATCAAAGGAAAATATATATATATATCATGATATACACGATTTAAAAAACAAAAATAATATAGTTTTTATTTAAATAATTTTCCATTCATAAAACCTCAGACGAATGTGTCACTTATTCAGCAATAAAATAAAAAACAGAGACAGAAACAGTGTGTGAGACACTGAGTCAGGACTCCAGCTGGTGGAAGCACATCTGGATCCAGAGGTTCTCCTGGTGGATTTAAGGTGGATTTAAGGTGGATCTTCAGCCCCTGACTCAGGGATCATTCTCCATCCTTCAGGTGACAGAAATCAGGTGGTTTCATTTACTGGATGGAGCCGTTTCCGTTTTCCTGATGGAGCCGTTTGCGTTATTCTGCTAAATGAGAAACTGGGGGGCTGAAACTGGAGCTTCTGAGGGGGGGTTGGAGCTCAAGATCAGGGGTCAAAGGTCAAAGACTTTACAGCTTCAGCCTCTGAGAGGGACAGAAAACAGCCCACACCACCATCCCTCCCCCGCCGTGCCCACAGCTGCTCTGAGCTGTTAGCTCATTAACTAAATTTTTCAGGTCGTTCTGGTGTCTTTCCTCCTGGACGTTAGCACGCACGCCGGATGCTAACGGAGCTAACGTCTGCTTTGAAAGAGCTGCTCACTCTGACTGAGGACAAACAATCAAAGCTGATCAATAATCAGAGCTGATCAATAATCGGAGCTCTAACAGCCTCAAATCAGACTCAACTTTTTTAGTTTTGATTCAGATATTGTTCAACTACATTCAAGACCTTTAAACGATGCGTTTTTTCCAACTGACGGATCGCATGAAGAGGTAATTCCACCTGATATGTTTGTATATTTGGGAGCATTGACTGATTAATAATCAGAGCTGATCAATAATCAGAGCTGATCAATACTCAGAGCTGATCAGCTACTGCTGGCTGATTCTTAAAGCAGTCGGAGGGGACTTTGGTTTCCACACACGTGTTCTTGGTTTAACGTTTGTTCCACAATGAAAAGAGCAATAAGCCTTAAAATATATAGACAATAGACAATCTAAATATTCGTGTTTAAATAGTCCATTTAAAACAGTTTTCCTGTTTGTTTTCATGAGGCCGCGACTTAACTTAACTTAATAATAAACTTAGTAATAAGCCTTAGAAATAAACAAATAGAAAATCTAACAATTTGTGTTTAAACGGTCCATTTAAAAAACAGTTTTCCTGTTTGTTTCAGCTTTATGAAGCAGATCAGAGTCGGACTAAAGCCGGTGGGTTCAGGCCTGATCGGCCGGAGGCAGCAGGATCTCCTCTGAGGACTTATCGGGATTCCCTGGTTCTGATTTGGTCAGGCTTCCTCTGGGGGGGGCAGGACTCCCCCCAGGGGGGGTGGAGCTCCTCAGGGAGGCTTTGGTCTCCTCTTCCTGGTCATCTTCAAATGTTTTCCTCTTAAAGCAGCCACACTGGAGGAATATAAGAGAAAAATAAAGAAAAAACGAGCAATTTAACTATTTAAAGCCTGATCCAAGAATAAAACAAAACAGAAAATTACTATTGGTTTGAATTCCTTATTTGGCCTTTTAACAAAATATGTAAAAAGAAAAAACAGAAATACATTTTTAATATTAATAATTTATTACTATGCGATAAGTCCAGATTATCTTTTGTGTAGTCTTCTGCCCCCTGTTATCAGGTGTATCTGATTGTGTACAAGAGGATTTTGAACAAAGTTTTTACCATTAAATTATGCAAAAGGTGTTTGGAGGCAAAACATTTCAGAAACCATATGGATCAAATATGATACATTTGGCATTACAGGGTTAAAGTTGTATTTTTCTGAGTTGGCAGCTCAAAATAAGACGTTCTCAGCTTGTTCTTCACGTGTTCATTTGAAGTAAATCTCACCTTCCACATGATGACAGCGATGATGATGATGAGGAAGAGCCCTGGAAGTACTCCAGTTAAAATGATCAGCATCTGATCCGGGGGGATGATCATCTCCACCTGAACCTCAGTCTGTCAGCAGAGAAAAGACGAGATGCTCAACTGTGTGGAAACTTTTGGAGGATCTTCTGACTTTACAGGAAACTCTACATACCGATTTCATGGTGGGGTCGTTGTCGTTCCACTGCCCAGGTTTCTGTGTCTGATAATGAGAAGAGAAACGGGCAGAGATGTTCAGTAACCAAGTAGAGCTAATTAAGTACCATAATGCAGTATCTGTACTTTATTGGAGGATAGGGATAGCAAGATATCAAAACTCAGCTCAGAAACCTTCACAAATATTCAAATCTGTTCCAAACTCATTTCACCAAACTGGACCCTTTAGAGAATCACATGTTTGGGACCTGATTTGTTTGGAATCAGCTGCAAAATTGTCTGCATTTCAAAGGCTTTTTTTCTTGTGTGTTTTACGTCCAGATGTTTCAATTGTGACGACTCGAACGTCAGAGTTTCAGCTCTCTGGTTTAAAAATTAAAAGAGGGTGACAGAAATTAGGATTTCCAGCTCTGAAAACACAGTTTGTGTTGCTGAGAGACCAGACAAGTTCCGTAACCAAGTAGAGCTACTTAAGTACTGTACTTAAGTACCAAAATGCAGTATCTGGACTTTATTGGAGGATATTTTTTTCACTACTTTTAATTTTACTCCACTACATATTTTTTATTAATTTAATACTTTTACTTTCTCTGTCTGACTCGTTACTCGTTACTGAAATGTAAACGTAATGAATCATCCCCAGTCATAGAGTCAGAGCCAGAGCTGGAAATAGTCTGTCAGGGTTTGGGAAGCTGGATCCTCATTGGCCGATTTCAGCCATCATAGCCTATTAAAAAAAGACTCCCGAAAGATCGAGAAATCATGGCCTTCAAAATTCCCATCTAATCTGAAGAAGCATATCAAGGTAAGTTACAAATTACAATGACATATAAGCTAGTAAATAAGTGCTAGTTCAGTTCTCCCTGTTCACTCAGGACGTAGCAGCTAACGTTAGCTAAAGCTAACCTAGCTGGCTAGCTGTATGATAACATTAGTTAAAGCTAACCTCGCTGGCTAGCTGTATGCTACATGCTAGCATAAAGGCTCAGCTCAGGATTCTGACTCTGGAATAATAAATAATAGCAGATGAAGTGCTGTTGATTGCTAATGCAGATGTAGTTTTACTGTAGTTTAAATTCTGTTATTATACTATTATTCCCCAATAATTTGCCATTTGGATAACGGCTAATTTGGGCATTTTGTGACGCAAGTAGGTGGATTTGTGACGGTTTTTCCTACTTTTTGGAAGAAACAACTTGATGCCTCATGTTGATGCTTCTGGGCTGTTCCATCATAAGGTTCACCACCAGGCTAGTATATATTAGATGAAGTGCTGTTGATTGCTAATTTTAATCAATTTCTCCTTGGAGATCGATAAAGTATAAAGTATTCAATAATGCATATGTAGTTTTCTGTTTTTAGTAAAAAACCTGTATGGTCTTTCACACGTTTGAAATAATATAAACAATATCTATCACACTTTTGACTGCCTTTTCTTAATATACACAGTACTTGTACTTTTACTTATACTTGTACTTTTCGATACTTGAGTAGCAATTTTTTGGACTTAAGTCCAAAAAATTGAGTACTTCCATACTTCCACTTAAGTATGGTGTTGAAAGTATACTTCAACTTTTACTCAAGTCAATTTTTTATATAGTACTTGTACTTGTACTCCCCTCCTCTACTCGAGTACTTTATACATCTCTGGAGACGGGTCCCGGTTCTGTCTGAGGGGTTTTTTCTGTGCCCGGTTACCTGCTCCTGAGCAGCCAGTTTGTATCTCTTCTGGTCGTAGTCGACCCGGATGAAGCTCCTGAACTTCACGGCTGCTCTGCGTCCGCTGTATCTCTGGAAAAAGGCCACGTTCTGTAAAGAGAGAGGCATCGAATCAGAGGTAGTTGCTAGCTGTAGCTGCAGTAGTAAAAGACTTGTGCACCCCTGATCTTTTTGCTGTATTTTAGGCTTGTCCCGATCCGATATTTGGATCGTATCGGCCGGCATGAGAAACTGCCGATCCAGACTCCAGATCCATTTTCTTTCAAACTCCAATCCCACACGAGCATTAGCATAAGTATCTCCTAACCCACATGTCTGTGTCCTAAACTTTAAGTTATCAGAGTAAATCCCTGTTCAACGTGAGTCTGACAACTAAGTAAGTAGATAAATAACTTTAGACTTTAATACAAAAAGCTGGATCGCCACTGGAGGCCTCGAATCAGAGGTTTTCCCCAGGCGGGCGGGTCGTTTGTGTGGGTCTGGTGCTGACCTCCGCCTGCTGTCTGAGGTGTCTGAACTCCACATCTCCGGCTAAAGTGAAGTCCACGGCCGAGCGGTTCCTCAGGAGGAAGCCGTCACACTTCATGGCGAAGCAGTGAAGTTCTGCTGGGCAGTGATGCTGCACAGAGAGAGCTCAGATCTCAGAAGGGTTCGCCAAATCATGGCGTGTTCGGAGGGAAGATCTGGATTTGAACTCACCTCATCTTCCACCTTAAAGATGTCTGAGCACTGAGTTATGTTCTGAAACAGAAAGACATCAACGGGTATCAGAGTTTGGAGCTGGAAACAGAAGAAGTGGGAATGATTCTGGCTCACCGGCTGCACAAGAACATAGTAGTTCCTCATTTCAAAGTCGTAATCCAGCCTGGTTGGGAAGACCAGGGTCACGTTGACGGGAACGTCCTTAAAACCGATGTTATTGATCTGCAGGTGGTGGCAGACAGCACATCCATCAGAAATGAACACGTTTGATATCTGCTTTCAGATGAGATCAGCGGCTCACCCTGTAAGAAGTGCGGAGGCTTTGGGGTGCAGATTCCTCCACCGTGAATTTAAGATAAGAGACACTTTCTTCTTTCCTGGAAAGAATGAATGAGGATCACACAATGCAGAAGCTGCAGGGTTATAAAGCTGATCCTAAAGGCTCCAATAAGGGAAACCAAAGCTGATCCTA